TTATCGGATGTTCTCTGAACTGTTATTAATTACTTTGGTTGAGTTGTAAATCACTTATGACACTTGTTTGTACTTTTTGTGTATCTATCCCCTCAGATTTATGTTCTTTAGTATTGGTATAATCGACTTAATCAAATAAGAGAAATTTTTTTCTCAGGAAAAATCAACAGGACGCAGCGCCCATTATAAGCTCACGTCGACGGTCATGCTTTGGTTGCAGACCAATAAACAAGATTCAGGCGTGCAAAACTTAGGAGGTTCCGTCACGAGGCAGGTTCGTGGCTTCATCCTTCCGTAAGTTGTGGACGTAAACTAAGTCTGAACCGTATTCTAGATTGAAAATGATCTCCCGCTGAACGACGTCAAGTCTCACGTTGCCAACATTGGGAAGATGGTAGAGGTAAGTAACGAATATTGGAGTAAAGTTAAGTTCATAACAACAGTTGAACCTAAAGATCAACCTATCATTACCTTTCACGTGATAATTTACCTGGTGATATTAATGGTCGCGTCTCAACGAAACCGATCATAAGCTAAAATATTAACATTTTTATGTCTTAAGCTGTGAATGGACAAGGACCGGAATTGGTGTAAAGTTACACCAGTTAAAGTTTTTTTTTACAGTGTTCCCTGTTTTGTCATTCAGTTATAAGACGATAAAGGAAGTGAAAAATTAACAACACTTAAATAGAACCTCTCGATCAGTGTAGCTGCCCCCTTCTTGAGGTTCTGTTACAGCCGCTTTCAGCCACTGAGTCATTACTAGTATACTGAAAAATCATTTCATTCAGACCGACACCGGTTGGTGACAGACTTGGTCAGTAGTCATAACATGATGGCGATGCAGTTGTTTTCTCTTCGACATAATCGCATTGAACATTTGAATATCGAACAGCCGCATGGCTCACTAATTATACTACGTTTTTTCGGTGATTTGTTTGTTGTAATCGACTTTAAAGAATTAACATTAACGTTATTGATTTAGGAAATGGAAAATAAAATGAGGTCGTCCCTGAACGAAATATACTTTGGTAAAACGCATGACATTGTCAGAACGTTACGATCGCTCCGTTCCCTAGCGGAGAAGGACAAACAGACGCAGCTCCAGAGCGAAATCGCTCGCGCAATATCCAGTCGACAAGATAGCAGCCAGCAAAGTGGCGTAGTGCACGAG